CCCAAGCTTTTCAATAAACTGAAAGTTCACTATCTGGGTAATGACTTCATTACTTTTCATGAGTTAATACATCAATCTCCACTGTTGCATAATGAAAGGACCCCTGGTGGTGCCCTGGTTAAAGAGATTGGTTGCTAGGACAGATCCACAGATCGGTAGTTCAAAAGAAAAGATGTGGCCTCAGCTTCAGAAAAGATTCACAGCCTTGGAAACCCCACGAGAACCAACTGGACAAAAGTGGGCTGGTTTGCAAAATATAAAGAGAAATGTGCTAGACATAAAAAGGCATTTGTGGTCAGACACATGAGTTTAAATTTAAATTGCACCGTCACCATTCCCTGCGTGCTCGACTCTGGACTTAATTTAATGTTTCCGAACCCCTCTGCTGACTGAGGTGCTACAGTTATGGCTGATCTTCAACTGACAGACTAAAGATGAACAAAAATAATCTGTTACTTTCATAATATTTAAAAACAATAATTCAGAGTTTTTTATTGCCACGTCTGCTTAGTTTTGTTGTTGATGTTTTTTTCTTTTCATCATACATATGCATCGGAATAATTCCAAATAAACATTTTTATCTCCAACTCCTCATTTTCCATTGTTCATTTCTTCCCCCAGAGGAAACAGGTTTTTTAAATGAATATTTTAATTTTAGGGGGCAATGCATATGACAAGGTGCCTGAGTGGCACAAATAGTTATGCACTTAACTACTAGCTGCAAGGCTGACAGCTCAAACCCCCTCAAAGGTGCCTTGGAAGACAAGCTTGGCAATCTGCTTCTGAAAACTCATGAGTCAGAATTCATTCGAAGGTAACTAAGAATAACAATTCATTTGGTACAAACATCAAAAGCTATGAAAAGGTGAAGTTTCCCTTCCACTTCCTGTTAGTCCACAGCAGTTAACTGACTGGGAGCCATCTTTGCAGAAAAATTGTATGCATAAATAATCCAATACAGATAGAGTTTCCTTTGTTGTTGTCAAGTGCCATTGAGTCAAGCTGGTTCCAACCCATAGCGACCCTGTGTAGGGTTCTCAAGGAGTAGCTGGTGAGCTTGAACCGCCGACCTTGCAGTTCAAATTGACTTTACAGTTCAGCACATTAGACCACAGCACCACACCAGGACTCCAGTGTCTCCTGTTACATAAATGAGGAGCTACTACAGTCATTATTTTAGTGCTTGGCTTTGTTCTACTTAGTAAAATTTAGGGCTCTTTCTGTGTCATTATGTAAAATCTTCCAAATTAAAAAAAATAGGTGAATATTATTACAGGTGACTATATAAATGCACCAGGATACATTTTTTTCCTGTCTCCTTTTAATGACATTTAAAGTGTTCCCAATAATTTTCTGAGAAATAATACGAAATACAAAGAATCTCTTGAATCTGTCAGTTCCCATACATGCACGTATGTATTTGTAGTAAGGAAATTCATCTGTGGAAAAGTAACGCCTACACACTTGCAATCTTGAAAATGTCCCACTTTCCTGTTTTAAAGATAACAGTTTTTACCTAGAAACCAGCTGGCCGTCCACTGTCACAATTTTGGAGCATTTTTCAACCGCAGAGGTGATAAATGACATGTTTCCCTTTCTCGGATTTCCCTGTTTACATCTCTCCTGGAAGAAGTGCAGCTAGAGTGCTCATTGGAAGTCAGGACGGCCAGACTTCATCTCTCATACTTTGGACATGTCACCAGGAGGGACCAGTCCCTGGAGGACACTATGCTTGGCAAAGTAGAGGGTCAGCAAAAAAGAGGGAGACCCTCAAGGAGACGGATTGATTCAGTGGCAGCCACAGTGGGCTCAAACAACTCAGTTGTGAGGATGACGCAGCACAGTCCAGAGTTTCTCCCTGTTGTGTTCAGGGCCGCTGAGTAGGAACTGACTGGATGGGATCAAACAGGGACAGCCTTTGTCCAGTCTCTTACCGACTCACGCCTTTTCATCAGTTTATATAGGTTCTTTATAAACTAGGGATGTCTTTGATGAGTTGCTCGTTTTCTCTAAATTACGTCTTTTGGCTTCCTAAAATTTAATGGGAATCAGGGACTAATTCATAGCTTTCTATTCTGTTTCATTGGACTGTCCAATGATGCTTCCATGTGGCCATAATTAAGTGTAGAGTAGGTTTGAATCTTTGCAAATGATTTAATCAAAATCTCCCATTTTATTCTTTTAATTTTTTAGGTGAAATTCAGCATATTAGGTCTAAAAATACTACAAGGGTATTTTTCCTGGGCTTCAAGTGTGTAAAAATGTGCCTTTCCTTCCTAGGTAGGCTGTTTCATGTTTAAACATTTGTTACTGTTTGAAACAATTAAAATATGTTTTAAATATCCTCATATGTTTATTGTATTTTAAATGTTTAAACATTTTTAAATTATTCCTTTTTTAAAAAAATGTTTATTCTAAATATATCTTAGGATCATCTTGTCCAAGTTTAAATGAATGGTGGAATTTTCAAGGCAATGTGGAAAGCAATCGCAAAGTGGTACTAACCCATCCATCCATCCCAAGCACTCTCTCCTCAGCTAGGCTTGATAATTCATTGCAATGGCTACACAGTTCTGGGGTTTAGTGGAGAAGCTCACAGGTTATAGTGCAGAAAAGCCTCAGGATACAGGTCTTTGGTAAGGACAGCTTCTTCTCTGCTGTGCCCATAGCCAGAGGTGGAGAACTTTTGGCCTGAGTGCCATATAAAGCCTGTGAAAGCACTTGGTTTGGCCCTGCCAAGGCAACCGCAGTTCCAGCCATCCCACGGTTTTGTTGATAAGTGCTGTCTAGTTGGTTCTGACTCATAATGACCCTGTATAGGGTTTCCAAGGAGCACCTGGTGGGTTTGAACTGCTGACTTTCTGGTTCAAAGTTCAGTGCTGATCCTATAGTGCCACACCAGGAGTCTAGCCAGTACTTTGGTGGTGGTGGTGGTGGTGGCAATGTGCCGTGGAGTCGGTGCCAACTCAGAGCCACCCTTTATAGGGTTTCCGAGACTGTAAATCTTTACGGGAGCAGGGAGCCTCATGTTTCTCCCACGGAACTGCTGGTAGTTTCGAACTGCTGACCTTGAGATTAAAAGCCCGGCTTGTAACGACTAAGCTACCAAAGCTCTTTGTTGTTGTTGTTGTTAAGTGCCATCGAGTCGGGTCCGACCCATAGCGACCCTGTACAAGGTTTCCGAGGGTGTAAATCTTTACGGGAGTAGAAAGCCTCATCTTTCTCCCACGGAGCGGCTGGTAGTTTCGAACCGCTGACCTTAAGGTTAAAAGCCCGATTCGTAACCACTACGCTACCAAAGCTCTTTAGATAATGCTTATTGTTGTTGTGAAGTGCTGTCAAATCGGTTCCGACTCATAGCGACCCTGGTGGTGGAGTGGCTGGTGAGCTTGAGCCACTGACCTTGCAGTTCAAATGACTTTGCAGTCCAGCGCATTAACCCACAGAGCCACACCAAGACTCCAGATATTGCTTATTAAGTAGATCATATTTATCAACTATAATTCATTGGACATTTTTCATTTTTATATTCTAGACCTTTATCTCGATTAGTGTTATGCATTAATCCATAATCCTCAAAGCAAACATATTACAAGAACCTTGTTTTCATTTGATAAGTGAAGAACTAAGGCTTCTTTTGGTAACCTGCCGGGTTTCAACTTTGCAGGTTTTGAGCTTGGTCTGTGCTCATAACCCTTCAACCAGGCAATGGGGAAACCAGTGAATATGATCAATTTGTTTTCGGTCCAGTGAAAGGAATTGAGGATTTGGAGAAAAGTATGTGTTTGCACTACAAATCTCCAGAATCAGCATTCTTTATTCCCAGTAACAGACTGTGCACTGCACCCTCAACGGAAGCACAGCCGTGTTCAGAAAACTCCCAGCACAACACAAACAATTAGAAAAACCCTCTCATATGTTTGTGTATCTTATTTAGCATCATCTCTGATATTTAGAAAAAATACATATATATATATTTTTAATATTTCCCATCATTTTTTTTTCTTATTTAAAAAATATGTCTAGGAACCCTGGCAATTTCTAGTTAGGTTTTTCAGTGTTAGACATCACACTGACAATAGCATCATGGTCTGTGGTCACGCAGGGAGCGCTATTCGCCTCTCCCAGGGCTGCCAGGAGCTGAGGCGAATGTCATTCTTGCGACATGAAGGAGCACCTGGAGTCATCCTTGAGGTAGAGTTTCTTAACAGAAATCAGCGGAGCACACAGAGAAAAACACGCATGACAAATTTACCACATACTAGCTTACGAGGGTTTCTCTGCTATTCATAAAGTTTTCAGTGACTAAATATTCAGAAGTAGTTCATCACTCCTTCTTCTTAATCTGTCTTCATCTGGAAGCTCATCTGAGACCTATCCACCGTGGGTGACCCTGGTGGTATTTAAAATACCAGTGGCATAGCTTCCACAGTCACAGCAACTCATAAGCCACCACAGTACGACAAACAGACAGAAGAGTGACGAACAAGACCTTTTTAAAGTGTTGAAGCCATTCCACAGAAACTTGATAGAGGGTTGCTAGGAGTCAGAACCCACTTGACGACACTTAACAGCAAGATACTTAATGGAAAACATGGAGAGAAATGGCTTATGTGGCAGAAAATGGTTTCTGTACAGTCTGTGCAAGTTCACACAAATATCTACACCAAGCTCCAAGGGCATTCTAGCTAGTACTTCTTGCCACAGATGGGGTCCATTGATACGTGAACAGTTGGAGTTTTCTAGTAGGTAGCTTCCAAGCCATTTGGATATCTTTGCAAGTGATCAAAACCAGAACTTGCCAGTTGTTTTGAGAGGATGGGCCCTATTCAGTTGGGCACATGGCTCTCTGGTCTAAAGCTGAGGTTCTGTTGTGCTTTAGAAAAAGTGCTATGTGTCCAAACTTGTGAAGCATGCCAAGCTGACAAAACAGGTTGCACTCAGGGACCCTGGGACCAGCAGTGTCCAGTCTCAGAGGCATAGAGGTCAATGTGATTAGGCTAGAACGTTGCTACTTTCGTCTCAGGACTTGACTCCTCTGGATGTGGTACATCTGGATTCTGACTTGGAGCAGAGCTCTGTAGTGGCTTTCTGGATTTGGCTGAGTAGATAACATATATGCTTCTTATTAGGAAGATTCCAGCAATTGCTGCAAAATAACTGCCGTAAACTAAAAACTGGAGAAAGACAGAAAAACCAGTCACGTGAAAATCTAATCATCATCCTTAAACCTTGAGACAAAACTGTCCCATGAAGCCATTAATTAAACTAACCAAAACTCAAACCCCAACCCACTGTACGGCAGGGTTGGGCTGCTCCCTACGGTTTCCAAGACTGCAAGTCTTTGTGGTGGCACACGACACAGCTTTCTCCTGAGGAGAGGCTGAACAGCTGACCTCTTGGACTGACCCAGCAGGACTCTTTAAACTTTAAGCCAAACTGTCCCATGAAACCACTGTTAAGCTGAACAACAGTTACCAATTAACCAAGAATGTTTGCCTTGAGCATTATGCTCTGATGGAGAATTATCTCAATGAGTATAAACTGACAATAGTTCATCTAAAGCACCAAATGGAATTTTTGGGAGTGGAGCGTAGAGCCTGAATAAGTGGTGATGAAATAATATGGGAAGAGACAGAACGGTGACCCATGTGAAGAATTCAACCAAAGCCATCCACCTGTTTATGGAGATGTCATGAGCGAATGTATGCAAGGCGTGTATATTGCCACCAACAATAAATTCAGTATTTGAAACTCCTGACCATCCATGTAATTGAAAAGGAGCCCAGTGGGGTGGGGGTGCTGTAGGTTAGGTAGTTCACACCCATCAACTGCTCCTCGGAAGAAAGATGAAGGTTTCTGCTCCCATTAAGATTACAGTCTCATGTTTCTGAGGGAAAAAAAAAGCCAATAGAACTAACCAAAAAATAATTCTAAAGAATGATAATTAGGTACCTTCAAAGGATGGATAGAAAGACCTAGAAAAGCAGGAGAACATAATGAAAACTAGAAGAATTCAGGAAAACACTACAGGAAGAAATAGACAAAATAAATGCAAAGTTTGAAATAATGTAAAACCTGGAATTAGAAATCCAGAGGATTATTACTAAGATCTCAGAAATGGACAATACATTGAAAAGGCAAAGGAGTAAATGTGAACCAATGGAAGCCTGAATTAGTGAGCTTGAGGATAAATCTTTAATACTAGTATGCTAGAAGAACAATCAGAATAAAGAATTAAAAAATCCAAAGAAAGCCTAAGAGTTATTTAGGGCACCACGAAGAGGAACAATTTACAGATGATCAGAATTCCAAAACAGGAAGAGAAAAGCACAGAGAAAAATTGTTGGAGATTTGGAAGAACTTCCTTAATATCATGAAAGACGAGAAGATAAGCATACAAGAAGCTGAATGAACCCTAAACATGATAGATTCCACAAGAAAATCACCAAGACATATTACAGTCAAACTTTTCAAAATCAAAGAAAAGGGAAGAATCCTGAGAGCAGCTCAGGAAAAATGAAAAGTTACCTATAAAACCAGTAAGACTAAGTTCTGATTTCTCAGCAGAAACTATGCAGGCAAGAAGGCAATAAAATGGCATATATGAAAATTCTGAAAGAAAAAGAATGCCAACTAAGCATCATAAACCCAGCAAATATAACAGCTAAATCAGGACATTTCCTGATAAACAGAAATTAAATGATTTTGAATGACCAGACAACTTTGCAAAAAAAAAAAAAAAAAATGCTAAAAGGTGTTCTTTGGACTGAGAATGAATAACAGCAGACAACAACCTGAGATTACCATTCAAGACACCACCACTCAGAACTCAATCCAGGTACAGAAGCATTTAAACTAAAACAAACCTACTACTTAAAGACTAAAAATAGGAAACCAGAGCTATCAATATACAGTAAAGTCACTGCAGAGCAAAAAGAAGAACTAGTGTAGACACAGAACTTCCAAATCACAAGGAAGTCAAGTAGATTTCAAGATAGAACAGACTGTTTTAATCAGGGAAAAAATTAATAAATTACAGGGTAACCTCAAAGTAAAATAATAGACTTGCACATCAAAATAGAAAAAGAGGAAAATCAGATTTAGTAAACATTAACACAACAGATGAAAATAACAAGGAAACTCACAAACAAAATGAACTTAGCATAAAAAATTATGTGAAACAAAGAATCCAGCAGCACCAAAAAAACACAGAAAAATGACAACAGTCAATTTTTACAATAATTACACTGAATGAATGGATTAATGTACCAGTCAAGACACACAAAAAAGCAGAATGGATAAGAAAACAGGATCCTTCAACATGCTGTCTACAAGAGACATCAACAATCAAAATGATGCATACAGCCTAAAGGCCTATCAGCAGAAGAATGGTTAAACAAATGTGGGTACATACCCACAAGGGAGTACTACAAAATGTTGAAGAATAATGATGAATATGTGAAACTCCTCACAACATGTTTGAACCCGGAGTACATTATGCTGAGTGAAATTAGCCAATCACAAGAGGACAAACATTGTATGAAATCAATGTTGTAAAAAGTTACAAAAATATTTTATTGATGAAAGAAACAATCTATAATGTTTAAGAGGGTTGGAGAAGGGAAAATTATTCATGAGATAGAGGGTAGACACGTGTCAACAAGGGTGACAGGGCATGCAATATACAACAAGAGGGAGGGTAGCAGAGGAAAGATGAAGGCAGAGGGAGACACAGGGAGGAATGCGATAGTTAAAGGGAACAGAGGTCAATGCTGTTTACTGTTGGTACATGCAACCAAGTAATGAAGTAAAGTACATGATTTATTGAATGTAAAACTGATGATCTGCTCTGTAAGCCTTCACTCAATTCACAATAAAAAGTTAAAAAAAAAAAAAAAAAAGTCTTGGAAACCCTCGAGTTAAGATGAGTTGGAATTGACTCGATGGCAGTGGTGTTTTGTGACATTGTTAGTGCATAATGATGTCATTCACATGGACTGGGTAGCTGAGACCCAGGATCCTGTGTTTAGAAGAGCCAGGTATGCAACATCAGCAATGTGGGGACTAGGATGCTTGGGTTCAGATCCTACCTCTCGGCAGTATCGAAGAGGGCACATGGCACTTACTTCCCTGTCTTCAGCTGTGTGTGACAGGTAATGAGATGCTACTGAAATCTCTGAGAATGAACTTTCCACCAGTGAGGTTACTTCAGCCAGCCTGACTCCTCTCTATTCAGATCCACATAGACATGTGAAATTGAGCTCATTTTAGTGGCAATCCCAGGAAACCTCAAAACTGATGGTGACCAGAGGCACATGGAGAATACAATGGCGAGAATGTGACCAGATGAGACTTGAAGGTTGAAGGTAAATTGATCTAGTTGGGATTTCTGTTCCCAACACCTACTTGGTATGTTGTGCTATTGTAATGTATCCAATCCCACATCCATGGAGTCAATTCCAACTCAAGGCAACCCCATTTGTATTACACAGTAGAATTGCTCCACAGTCTCTTCTTGGCTGTAACTTTATGGAAGCAGGGACCACTGAGAGGGGGTCGAACCACTCACTTTTAGGTCAGCAGTTGAGTGCAAACTGTTTGCACCACAAAGACGTGATACCTTCATCATTAAGGAAGTGCTTACTATAAATCTGCCTAGCCAAGAAATTCTTCCAAGCAATGTAAACACAGGCACTTGCAAGGTTGAAAAATCTTTGAAAAGGCTGCTTAGTTATTCTATGCTCCCACCACATACATCCATAAGAAAACAACTTGTGCAACTTACCTGGATGCTGATTGGCAGATTGAGCCCGTTTGGATCTACCACAACGACAGTTACAATGGTCTGGATCACCAAAGCAACGAAGGTGTTGATTCCAAACACCAGGGCGTAGCGTTCCACACTCAGGTTCACTGCAATCTGAAATCTATCATGAAGCATATGAAGTCATCATGAAATATATTTTAACAAGAACACACCTACACCTGATTTTCCTTGTCTTTCAAAGGCAGACATTGAAGAGACAACAACAGTGTTTTAATAGCTCCGCGGGAGAAAGACGAGGCTTTCTACTCCCATAAGGATTTACACCCTCGGAAACCCTGTACAAGGTCGCTATGGGTCGGAAACGACTCGACGGCACTTAACAACAACAATTTCTTGCCAATGTCCTCTAGATTAGACAAACAAGCAGGGAGTTAAAAGATACAATGAAGGCTAGATCTTTAAGTATAATATTGTGCAATTTCTGAACTAACCAAGTGAATGCTCCCAGAAATCAAACATAACTGTTCTAATTTCTCATAACTTGTGAATATAGGATCTTATCTGATTTTAGATGATGTTTAGCAATCAGTTTTTATGGAAATGCAAACACTACCTAATCTGAGGAATTTTTACAGAGTTATTCATTCTGTAAAGAGCCTGTTGGTGCAATGGGTTAAACGTTGGGCTGCTAACTGCAAGGAAAGTGGTTCAAACCCACCAGCTGCTGCTTTAAGGTAAAAAATGAAGCTGTCTTCTGCTCTTGTAAATATTTACAGTCTCAGAAAACATTGAATCAGCTCTACTCTGTTCTACTGGCTCAGTGAGAGTCAGAATCAATTTGACTGCAGTGGGTTTGTTTTTATAGTCATACATTCAATATTACAGTTGATTAAAATCCCTCTAAAGTTTGTTCTTGCTGTCCTGGTGTGGCATTGAGGGATAATGTCCTCTTCAGAAACCCTAGACAGGGTCGCTATGAGTTGGAATCAACTTGATGGCACTTAACAACAGCAACAAAGTTTGTTCTTAGAGGACCCAGAGGTATAATACAATAAGAAAGTCATGTTGGTTTAGTCTAGGAGTTGAAAGCAAGGCCGATACTTACACTGCTATAGTGATTAGAAGCATATAACCTGACTTGAATATCAAGTAACCAGTATAGCACACCCAGATGTTGGAGGTGTAATGCATGAGGAATAAGGCACCAGCATTGGCAAATGAGAAGACCCCCAGTGCCAGCTCTCCCAGAAGGTTCCAGTTGACTTTCACATAACCGATGGCAAAGGCAGCCAGGGCCGCTGAAAAGAAGAGCCATATATTGACTATATGGAAAATGTCAACATACTCTTAAAAACCCAGTGATTTTCCAACAATGAACACCACCCAATGTACTCAATTAGGTCATTAATTTTATTCATCTCTATCATTACTTTCTATTTATCTTGCTTCTAATTATCTTGATGATTTCCAAGGACTAGTCTAATATATTGAGGCTTTGGAGCAACACACCTCTGTACTTACACTTCATGTATTTATTTATATGGTTAGGTTACAAAGACCAGGTTGATATTAAAAAATAGTGCATATGACCACATCAGATCACAACATGAAAGATGACTACAGCATAACACAAATGCCAAATTGCATCATTACAAAATTGTCAAACCACTGAGAAAATGGACACATAACTTGAACCATCTCATTCTTCCCTTGCATCTCTACATTCATTACTGCCAGATAAATATCATTAATGCACAAAACAGTTGGATAATCGATTTGATTAATTTGATTAATCATCTCTTTCAAGAGTGAACTAGGACCTAAACTGAGGGGGCAATAAAGGCATGAAGTGACTGGCTTACAAGTTTTCAAGAGGGAATTTAGTTTCAGAGTGTGCAGGGGAAGGTAGAGTCCGCACTGAATAGTTTTCATCTTGTCTAGATGGGTCTGGTGAAAGGAGATGGGGATAAGAGTCATATGATTCAATATTGAGTAACTGTTATCATGACTAATTGTGATTGTCACAACTGTAAAGGTACAAGTTTTGCAACAAGAAGTGGGGAGTAGTTAATCTTACATTCCAGGAACAGAGGACCTCAGGACCATCAAGGGAGAAGAGAATGAGTGGAAGGTAGGACCCTATCCAGAGAAGTAGAGATGGAGGCAGAGATGGGGACATGGAGAGAGGGAGCAGCTGAGGACTCTGGATTCATGGAAGGAGAAAGGCTGTGTGCTGGCGGCCAGGAGGCAGGTTTGCAGGGTGTGCCTTTTATTGTTTAAATTATTAAATATTCCTGAGTGTTTTTGTGTACAGCCCCTAACCCCCTCCCCCAAAGGGAATGGAAAATACTGTTGAATGATGATGCACGGAACGGAGGAGATTGTAATCATTGCAATGAAACAATGGTGTAAACCCGATGTTCTCCCATGTAAACTATCACTGAGTTCACAATAAAAACAAAACAAAACAAAAACCTGCCCAGTTCTACACTATTTCCCTAATTGTTGCTATCTTTGAGCCCACTGTTGCTTCCACTGTGTCCACCCATCACATTGCAGGTCTTCCTCTTTTTCATTGGCCTTTCACTGTACCAAGTGTGAGGTCCTTCTCCAGTGATTGGGTCCTCCTGACAACATATACCAACAAATAGTCAGAGTTTCCACATGCTCACTTAAAAATTTATTTTAGAGTGAACTAGGAAAGAACCATAAGGAGCTCTGGTAGCATAGTGGTTACGAATCAGGCTGCGAACCGCAAGGTCAGCAGTTCGAAACTTCCAGGTGTTCCGTGGGAAAAAGATGAGGCGTTCTGCTCCCGTAAAGATTTACAGTCTCGGAAACCCTGTACAGGGTCGCTATGAGTTGGAACCGACTCCACGGCACATAACAACAACAACAAGGAAAGAACCATAGCTAAGAGGAAATATAACCTCCCCATGCCACACACTCCCCCCCCCCCAACCCCACAGGAGTCCTGGTGTGGCACTGTGGGTTAATGCGCCAGACTGCAAAGCCATTTGAACTGCCAAGTTCGGTGGTTCAATCTCACCAGCTGCTCCTTGGAAACCTTATACAGGGTCGCTATGGGTTGGAACTAACTCGATGGCACTTAACAATAACAACAACCCCCTACCACAAGGAACTGGACTGTAAGAAGATTCAGCGTCAATACCAACAGTCTTGGTTTCAGGAATTAAATTGACGTCCCTGAAAATGGAGACAATAATAAAAACACAAGGGGTTTCTGAAATGTTTTGTAAATGAGGGTGTGGAAAATTCCCACTGCCTAAAGAATACCTTCAAAGTCTCCTTTTCCATTTCCATTTGCCAAGACATAAATATTTACAATAGAGGAAACTTCACAGGTAGACTTCTTTGAGATATTACATTCCTGACTCACATCCCCCAGTCAATCTCTTAAAAAAGCTAGAGTTTGTTTTGTTTTTATTGTTGAATTTTTGGTGTACAGACTTGAATTGTTTAAAGGAGGGTGGAGGAGGGATGCTAACTAAATCAAATTCTTTATTATTGACAAGGCTCTCCCAGTAATCATCAGCTCAATTAAGAAAAAAAATAAACTTCTTATACACACACACACACACACACACACATGTATGTATATATATACATGTTATTCTTAGTGGGTGTTGTCGAATTTATTTCCACTCTTTCCTCTAAACAACAGCAGGAGTCTTAGCGACAGTCTTCCTGATTGATGATCAAATGGACTCTCAGGAACTAGTCTGGAATTTAACCACTTGGTGCCAGATTCCACATTTTTTAGTTACTCATTTTAACTATCATACATTCAATAGATGGGTCACGTCCTCTTATTTTTTTCCTGATGCCTTCCACTCTCGAAAAGGTCCATATGCCTTCTGAACCGAGTCCATGTACCACCATGGAGAAGTTTGTGTTGTTTTTATTATTGTTGTTAAGTGCCGTCGAGTCAGTTCCGACTCATAGCAACACTGTATAGGGTTTCTAAGGAGTGGCTGGTGAGTCTGAACCATCGACCTATGGTCGAGTGCTTATCATACAGCACCACACCTGGATAAAGTCACCTACACTGATCTCTTAATTTGGGGAGCTCTAATTCAACACATTGATTAAAAGAAGATAAATCAGTGCTTACTTACCTTTAAAAGTTGCAATAGCTTCAACGGCCCCATTAAAGATAGAGGAATTTTGAGACGGTGCCTTGTAATCCCACAGAAGTTGAACAAAATTCAAAACCTGGTTAAAACCTGCAGTGGAAAGAGCCCACCACAGGGACCAGTAAAAGAGGCGCTTCGAGGAGTAGCACTCCCTCAAATCTCGGAACCACTGCACAAAGACTCTCACAGCCACATTTTCCAGCTTGGAGCTACTCAACTGGCTGACATCCAGATTCCTGGAAATGGTGAGCATTTCTGAAGGCTCCGTCTTGTGAAGTTCATTGAGCTCTGCATTTGTCCTGGGTGACTTCTGCATATCTTTGCTGGCTTTGGCATGAAAGAACATGCTTTTCTTGGGCATTGGTAGAATAAGTGAGAAAAGGAAGGCCATGGAGACACATACCATGGATATGACGTTGAGGTAGAAGTAGGAAACATTTGCCAGCGATACCAAGAGTTGGGCCAGCACGGAGCCGACTGTGTAGGCCACCAGGGTGATGCTCCTACAATAGCTGCTGACTTTCTGGTAATGCTCTGGGCTGACCACACTGTAGATATAGGCATAGTAGGCCACCTCGGTGGCTGTGACCATCCCATAGAAGAACTCAACAGCTTGCATTGCCATTACTCCTTGGCCAAACAAGAGCAGCAGCCAAGTGACCATGTAGCTAATCCCTTGTAAGATGATGACAGGCTTGTAGCGGACGAAATCAGTGAGGACAAACACAGGCAGTAGCAGCACAAGGTAAGAGTAAGTCCAGACTGGAAGGATCTCATTGGTGATCTGCAGAGATGGAAAATAGATTACGTGACCATGGAACACCAGAAATGACTATTAAGGGACATGTGTCTTGCTCAATATGAAATTCTATATCCAACTAGATATTCTTCATGTTATGGAACATCACACACACCCACACACCAAAAACAAAACAACAAACCCAACATCCAGTTTATATATTTAAAAGTCCACAAGAAGAGTATGTTGTTTTGTGCCATTGAGTCGGTGCTGACTCATAGTGACCCTATATAGGGTTTCCAAGGAGTGGCACAGGTTTGAACTGCCGACCTTAGAAGAGTATACTTGGTTAATATTCGATCTGGCCCATGTAAATGATCAAATGTAAACAGTATCTGTATATGAATAATTTTTTGCTGTGAAGCGCCGTCGAGTTGGTTCAGATTTATAACTACCCTGTATTGGGTTTCCAAGAATCGACTGGTGGGTTTGAACCATCGACTTCGTGGTTGCCAGTCCAGTGCTTATTCTACAGTGCCATGCCAGGAGTCCTATTAGTAAATTGTTGTTGTTTTTAAGTGCTGTCAAGTCGGTTCCAACTCATAGCTACCCTGTATAGGGTTTCTGAGAAGCAGCTGGTGAGCTTGAACCGCCGACCTTGTGGTTCAAACCAACATTACAGTCCAGTACATAAACCCACTGTGCCATATCAGAACTCCATGAATAAATTAGTTAAACATTGTTCAGTCACTTCTGGGTTGTTCAGGCTCTGTTGCCTGAGAACACTAAAATACACTGTCTTGTTAGGAGATGAGCAACATCAGTTAAAGAAACTGTGTTAGAAGAATCTTTTTCTTAGCACACATGAAAACAGCAAATAGTATATGACCTTGGAGAATTGGAGATTGGGAACAAGTATTATGCTTCATCTCCCTCCTGAACAAATTGGCTGGGCTACCATTTCCTTGGCCTCCATTCTACCGAGGCTCACTCAATCCTGACCTCACATCTGACATGGTCAGCTCAAGGAGTTTAGTCAGAAAGGCATGGGACTTCCATTGTCAGAGACAGAAAGAACTGATAATCTTTGGGGCATAGTGGGTGAGAACAGGAGCCTTTAAATCAATGAGTCTCCATCACAGTTGGTGGTTGGTCTCACTGAAGTTGTTGTAAGGAGTGGTTAAGCCCATGCCTGCTAACCAAAAGCCTGGTGGTATGAACCCACCACTGTTCCCCAGGAGAAAGAAGTGACAGTTTGCATCCATAAAGATGGCAGTCTTGGGAGTCCTTTGGGGCAATTCTCTGTCCTAGAGTTGCTATGGGTTGGAATGCACTAGATGGGCTTGGGTTTCTTTCTGGAGGCTGCTGTAGAAATCAGAGGGCCCAGGACAAAGGCCAGCATGACTGAGCTTCACCTGTGAGGACAGGCCTATAACTGGTTCACAGAGGCAGACTGTAGTGAATTCACTGGGTGGATTCAAAACGCGACCCATTCTTTTTTTTTAGTCTTAGTTGTGACAAGGTACAATGCAGGAAACTCTGAAACGAAGTTGTTCCTTCATGTTTTGGGTACCACAACAGAACAAGCTTGCCTTTGTGTGTTTGCCACCTCACTGCCAGGTACACCAGCCATGTGAAGCCCCTCTATCCTGCATATTCATGGCCCTGCTGGAGATTCTAAAGCCAATCCCGCGAATCCCCCAGCTGGATCAATGCCTTTTCTTGTTGCATTTACTAAGGTGGTGGTGGCTGTGTGCCATGGAGTCGGCTCCGACTCATAGTGACCCTGCGCAGGGTTTCCCAGGCTGTAAATCTTTATGGGAGCAGAAAGCATTTTCTTTCTCCCATGGAATGGCTGGTAGTTTTGAACTGCTGACCTTGAGGTTAGCAGCCTGACTTGTAACCAGAGCTCCTTATTCATTAGGTAGGTTAAAAAAAAAAAAATATTGCGGCTTTGTTGTTTCTTTTATTTTTTTGACTTACACTCATATTATATGGGAAGGAGATGAATCTCTGAAGGTACTTAAAGCTCCGTTGAAATCTGTCTATCACAGGTGACATGGCCTTCTGAGGAGAGAGGAAGGGCTGAAAACTAAGGACCTTTATATCTTGTTGTTGTTAAGCATCATCAAGTCGGTTTCAATTCATAGCAAATCTATGCAGGGTTTCTGAGGAGGTTTGAACTGCCAACCTTACATTAGTTAGCAGTCCAGTGCTTATCCTACAGCACCACACCAGGAGTCCACTGTCTGAGTTAAATATTTTTAAAAATTGAGTAAGAAAAACTATCTACAGAAATGCTTTGATTCTTTATCAGATCCTGCCTGTACTTCAATAGCATGAAAGCTTATTAGGACCTGTGTACCTGGCATAGGTCTAGTTACGTGTGGTTGTTGTTTAGTGCCATCCAGTCAGTTCCAACTCATAGTGACCCTGCACAGCGTTTCCAAGGAGCGGCTGTTGGATTTGAACCGCTGACCTTGCAGTTCATACTGACCTTATGGTCCAGTGCTTATACTACTGCAATAAGCACACCAGGACCCCTTGTACTGAGAGCTTATAATGAAAATAGTCACGGAAATTGAACATCTGGAATGTTCCCAAGCACAAAGTCTAATTAATTTTGCTGTTATTGTTAAGTGCCACCGAGTTGGTTCAGACTCATAACGACCCTGTATAAGGTTTCTAAGAGTGGCTTGTGGATTTGAACCGCCAATCTTGGGGTTAGCCTGGTAGCAGCCCAGTGTTTATCCTATAGCACTCCACTGGGGCTTGAAATTAAGTCTCTTGAAATTTTCTGAATGTAAGAAAAGCACAGTTGAACATGAGAAATATGAAAAGTTTTCTATATTTTCTACTGAACCTTACTGAGATCAATGTGCTAATTTGACTTCAAGTTAAGTGAAACTCTTGACTTCATTTTTGTTCAAGCCCCCTAGACTTACAAATCACACAGAGACGTGCATGAGTAATAACTTACCTCTTGGTTTGTTAGGTTTTTATCTGGTCCTGATAAATACGGGATGAGGAATGGTTCTGAAGGTCTCATCATGGAGAAGAATCCAAACAGGCAGAGGATTACAGTGGGATAAATCCAGGAGTAACTCGCTGGTGAATCCATGGCTAATTCAATGGAAACAAAGTCAAAGTTCACATGTTTTTATTCTTTTCAAAATTTTTATTGTGAATTAAGTGGAAGTTTACAGACAAAATCATCAGCTTTACATTCAACAAATCATCCACTTGGTTTCATCTCAATGACTGCAATTCCCTCCATGTAACAACAGTTCTCCCACTTCCTCCCTGTGGTTCCCCCATTTCCAGTCCACCCACCTTCCCATCCCTTCTCAATTTTGTCCTTAGAAAAATACTGCCCTTATGATTTTGAATGACCATTCCATGGCGAGCCGACCTTACTAGTGGTGGTCACTCCCCTACTTGTATTTATTCTTATTTTTCAGCTTCTAGGGTATAATGAAAAACTGATTACTCCCCAAGGTTTTATGAAAAGATAAGTATCATCCACAAGGGGGAAAGTAATTGCTCTCAAATACTCTTTCAGTGAGCCAGTCAAGTCCTGCTTTGTCAATGAACTTGAACTTCAGAAAGAATTCTTTGTGCTTTCTCCATCACAAGACTATTAAGTATTTGGTGGTAGTGGGTGATTGTTAGGGGCCGTTGAATTGGTTCTGACTCATAGCGACCCTGTATAGGGCTTCGGAGAAGTGGTTGGTGGGCTTAAACCACTGATCTTGCAGTTAGCAGTCCAGTGCTTATCTACAAATAAATGGTAAAAGGAGTCCTGGAGGTGTAATGGTTAAGTACTCAACAGCAAACCAAAACGTGGAATGGGGAAAAGATAGTTCTTTTTTAATAGAGAATGGAGAATGACAAAAGTATTTCATTGATAGATCTCATCTGGAGTGAATTGCAAAGTAGAGCTGGAAGCCACAACTCCTGGTTGCTGACATACAGAGTTCTCCGTGTTGCTATATTTCCTTAATTTTAGCCTTTACTTGTCTGGTCCTTTTGGGTGAATTATGCTCTGTGCATAATTGTACAGTACACATTTTTGTGCATTGTTCATATATTGATTTGGGCTTATGCCCAGTTTAGAGTTTATCCAAATTTCAGACACGAACAGTATTCTACTTCCTAGCTTCCAGGTTGTGTACAGAAAGCATGTGTGGCCACAGATATTTCTTAGCATACGAGAGGGCTTCAAAAAGTTCTAGAAAAATGGAACTAAAAGAGAATGGAATTTTCCACTAACTTTTTGAAGCCCACTCACGTTTTCCACTATCATATGATAAATAACTATAGAAAAGCAAATATTTTAGTTGTTTTTGTTAGGTGCTTTCAACCCCATGCATAACAGAATACTTCCTAGTCCTATGCCACCCTCATAATTGTCATTTTTCAGCTCATTATTGCAACCACTGTGTCAGTCCAGCTCGTTGGGGGAGGCGTCTTCCACTTTTTCACTGACCCTCTACTTGAATAAGCATGACAACCTTTTTCACTTCTCCTTCCTAGTCTTGTCTTAGTCGTCTGGAAGCTCCACTGAAACTTGTCTATCATGGGTGACCCTATTGGTATTTAAAATGCTGGTGGTACAGCTTCCAATGAGCTCTGGCAGCATAGTGGATTGTAAGTTGAGCTGCTAACCGCAAGGTCAGTGGTTTGAATCTACCAGTCGCTCCGTGGGAGAAAGATGAGGCTTTCTGCTCCCATAAAGATTTACAGCCTTGGAAACACTATACAGGGTCACTATGAGTTGGAACTGAATCTGCGTCACACTATTACCACCACAGTTTCCAGCACCACAGCCACACACAAGCCACCACAGTACAACAAACTGACAGACAAGTGGAGGAGTACTGTAGCTATAGATACATAAATCCTGTCTCCACTGGGGGACTTGCTGTCTTCTGAAGGTTGAGGTAGATTTCCTAGGCAAGGAGGAAATCTCGACTGTCCCAATCCCACCACCACGCTACCCACTCCTACACTCACTCACCCACCCATCCACAGAAGATGGAGCTGTCCTCTCAGCCGAGAAGTGGGCTCTCACAATAGGGGACCCGAAAACCTGTCCAAGCCCAGAAACCCTGGAGGGACAAGGGACTGAAACAATGTAAAGGAATCACACTAAATTCTCTACCAGAATTAGAATTAATGTCAACACTGACAGTAGTCCAGAGGGAAAAGACCTGTAATTCCTACCCATCTGGCCCTATTCTTCAGGTTATTTCTGTTAGCTGCCCCGTGCCCCTAATCTCACACACGACTAGAATAAAGAACTTTGAGATTGGCAGATATGCGGGAGCTTCACTAAATTCATGAAAAGATGGAATTAAAAGGTCATGGTATGTTTTCACAAACTTTTTGAAGCCCCCTGGTATTTTGTGGAAAAGACAAAAAGGATTATGTTTTTTTTAAAAAGGGAAAATTAGACTTCTAAATAAAAAACTTACCTTTTTTCCAATCAATTTATTATTTCAACCAAATAAAATTGTATCCTGTATCTTGTCATCATGAGACATCATTAAGAAAATGGGAGGGGGGAGGAGCCACAGACTAATAAGAAAAATAATACAGTGCCTCTAAAGCAGGGGTGGGAAACCTTTTTTCTGTCAAAATTTATAAAATCATTTGGGGACGATACAATATTATCAATTTAAAAATTAGCCTGCTATATTTGGTCAAACATTTAATGAACTCCCCCCTAATGGGATGGCTGGAGTCCTGGTGTGGTGCCATAGGTAAGCACTTGACCTCAAGGTTGGTTTGAACTGTAAGGTGGGTGGTTCAAACTCACCAGCCGCTCCTCGGAAACCATACACAGGGTGGCTGTGAGTTGGAACCCACTCCATGGCACTTACCAACAACAACAACAATGTGATGGCTGGAACTGCGATTGCTTTGACAAGGCCAGACCAAACGATTTCATGGGGGTCCTGGTGTTGCACTATGGGTTAATGCACTGGGCTGCAAAATTGGTCAAACCACAAGGTTGGTGGTTCAAGCTCACCAGCTGCTCCTTGGAAACCATGTACAGGGTGGTTATGGACCGACTTGATAGCACTCAATAACAAGGTATTCTTTATATATTCAAAACAAAACTCCTTTTAGAGCAGGGGTGGGGAACGCCCAGTTCCCAAGGAGTGGCTGGTGAGTTTGAACTTCCAATGTCACGGTTCCTACAACATAATAAAAAGACACGGGCAAAGAATTATCACTAAAAATGTTAGTTGTGTGCTGTGGAGTCGGTTCCGACTCATAGCGACCCTGTATAGGGTTTCCGAGGCTGTAAACCTTTACAGGAGCAGAAAGCCTCATCTTTCTCCCGCAGAACAGCTGGTAGTTTCGAACTGCTGACCGTGAGATTAGCAGCCCGATTCGTAACCACTACACTACCAGACCTCCTTATCACAAAAAATAGGAATGGTCAAAAAAGCATATGAGAAGACACTCAATAGTCAACAAGGTAAGTTGTCAGGTGTGCAAATTAAAACTATAATGCAACACTTGACAGTCACTAAAACGGTGGCGATCAAAAAGACTGACGTTGAATTCCTAATCATTGCACCCTAGAGGACACAGTAGAACGGCCTCATAGGGTTCCCAAGGCTGTAGCTAGCGTCCACTGCTAACTAAGAGGTGGACAGTTTGAATCCACCAGCGGCTCTTTGGGAGAAAGATGGGCAGTCTGCTTCAGTAAAGACTATTCACTAGAAGTTGGAATAGGAGGCTCCAAGGTACAACAGTAACAGCCATGGCCAACAGACGCCCCGTCTTTACTACCACGGAGTGCTAACTATTGCCCTCCCGGGCCAAGGTTGTACAGTAATTCAATTCCTGTGCATTGCTGGTGGGGATATAAGCACATACTTTTTGCTTTTGTTAAGTGCCAATGAGTTGGTTTCTGAGGAGATGCTGATGGATTTGAATCACCGACTGCGTTCAAACTGCCTTTGTGGTCCAGTGCATTACCCTGCACTGCCACATCTGGCCTCCACACTAGTACTAGCTCTTTGGAAAACTGCCCAAACCAAACCAAACCCACTGCCTTCTAATTGGCTCCGACTCACTGCGACCCTATAGGACAGAGCAGAACCCCATAGGATTGCTGAGACTGTGAATCTTTACAACCCTGTAGCGCAGTGGGGCACGTGATGGGACCTAACCACAAGGTCAGCAGTTCAAATCTACCAGGCACTCCGCTAGAGAAAGATAGCGCTTTCTGATCCCATAAAAATTTACAGCCTCAGAAACCCTATACTGGATTGACCCCAGAGCACACCACTACCACACCACCAAATCTTGATGGGAACAGGCAGTCTCATCTTTCTCCCATGAAGAGGCTGGTGGGATTGAACGACCTGCCATTCAATTAACAGCTAATAGTTAACCCACTATCCTAATAGGGCTCCTTATTGTTTGGCAAACTTTGTTCATAGCAGATTTACTCATAATAGGAAAAAATGGTAAGCTTGTGAAGTGAGGACTTGTTCAGCAAGATGGTATTTTCACACAAAGGAAGGCTTAAGAGAAATCAAAAACACTGTGGATCACAGGTCTAGTCACACACACGGGGTGACGGTGAGTCAAAACATATACCATGGCAACAATTTTATAAAAAACAAGCAAAACTAGTATGTAGTGAAAGAAATTCATCAGTAGTTTCCTGAGGGCAGGAGTGGAGGGCGGGGAACTTTCTAAGGTGTTGAAAATGATCTATACCTTGTCTGTCTCACTCACGGCTTTCTTTGGAGACTCCCATAGGTAGATTCAACCCTCCAACCTTTCTGTTAATAACTGCTGCTGCTGTGTGCTGTAGAGTCGGTTCTGACTCTTAGTGAGTTTGTATAGGCTCTCTGAGGCTGTAATTCGTCAGGGGCAGAGAGCCTCATCTTTCTCCCTCAGAACAGTTGTTGGGTTTGAACTGCCGAACTTGAGACTAGCAGCTCAGTGCTTATGCTACAGCTCCACCAAAGCATTGTTGTTGTTGATGTGTGCTGTGAGTTGGTTCTGATTTACAGTGACCCTGTATAGGGTTTCTGAGGCATTAAAAATATGTGCAGAGCAGCTGATGGGCTGAGCCGCCAACCCTGTGGT